GGATATGGAGGCTGGGGGCCTGAAGAGGGAGGGACATTTGGGGCCAGGAGGCCTGAGGAGGGGGAATAAAGGTGTGGACACTGCGGGGGACAGGAGGCCTGAGGATATGGGTGGCTTAGGTACCAGGGAAGAAGCTGCTCTTTCTTGGGGGCATGTAGATACGTGGACCCAAGCCTTTTTGCCCTTTGGGGTGGAAAGGAGGAAGCAGGACCTTGGACAGGGGCTTGTGGAGTTGGGCCCCATTTCTTCCATACAGCCAGGCTGCCAGTGGTCTGCACATTCTGTCCTCTCTGGACACCCATTTCTTCTCCAAATTCATGTAACCAGGGCCAGTATATGATATAGTCTTTTAAGAAGACTTCAAAACTATTAAGCTTCTTATTAAGTATTTTTTGAAGCTTGTAATGCAAACAACCATCAAATAAGAGAATAAAAAACACCACCACCTGCCTGACATCACTGATTCTAGCTCCAAATGAGGAGGACCTGTCAGCTCTGCTTTCAGTAAATACCCCTAAAACCCCAAGCACAATGAGCGTCCATTGTGTTAAATGTACACAAAAGCACAAATGGTCAGTCTTTGTCCCAAAGAGCTTATTTGTTGTTATAAAGAAGTTACATAGCATAACTCAGATATTAATATTTTAAAAATCCTAGTTTCCTAATTCCTCACTTAGTGCAATGAGTACAAGTAATCATTGAGTTAATGGTTGAGATTTTGTTGGTGAATTGGTTTTAAGTCACTTGAAACATGAAGGGTGAGGTTTGTGTTTTTTTAAACATGGATGCTAAATTCCTCAGTTCATAATCACTCTAGAGAAGTTACATCACCCAGGAAATGTCACTAACCCTTGCTGTGTTAAGAAAAATGAGGTAAAGAAACTAAGTATTATTTTTCAGTACTTGAACTAAATGTCATTCTGAGTTTTACAATATGAGCCATTCTATATAATTTCATTTACAAAAGATGAATCACTTTAAGACAAAGGATAAAACCTTACTTTTACCTGGACTAACTATGTTGCATTTTTCAGTTCAAAATATACAATCAGAGATGCTTATATTTTGACTGGGTAAAAATATTTTCATCATGCTATTAGTATTTGGGGACTAATGTCTGATGCTGAATGGTGCCAAGAACTCAGCTCCTATGGGAGCTCATTATGTACTTCCTAGAATTCCTTGAGTTCAGTAGCTTTCTATAACAGGCTATTTTTCAATCTGCAGTGTCTTCAATGTTTAACTGTTTTTCCAATTAGTCAGTAAATGTGTCCAGTACCTGACCCAAAAATGCAGGTATAAGAATGATGATTGAAAATGGCTAATAGACAAAATAGGTTGGCCAGCTCTCCCAATCTGACAGACCAGATGCCCTTTATGGCAATGGCATTTAGTCAAGGATAGTTGGCAACACTAAACCAGAAGTTAACAAAGACAATTAGAAATTACATGATTTAAAATACAGGATTTTAAAAGCAGAATATGTTTTACTTTTTACAAGTCAATTTTATAGTATTACCATTTCCTTGTTCTTTGAAAATAAAATAATCCTGTTGCCATTAGTGGTCTGAATCATTATAAAATGAATGTTATTTAACACTACTAATTTTCACAGGCTAGATTTTTTTTTAATGGAAATAACTTTCAAATGTGGAAGTGAATGCAGATGTTTTAGTTTGTGTTAGACAGTCTATGTGAAAATAAGTCTTGCCAGCCTTGTGATAATACTGTAGTTCAAGTAGCAATACTATCATTCCTTCAAGAGCTTCTACAACAGTTCAGGGGCTGATATGAGTCTCTTGTAAAGTGTCTTATTATGGAAAAGTGGAGACACACTGCATTTTTTTGTTTTGTTTTGGGAGAGTGAGAAGATAGCAGCATTAATTGGCCGGATTCATATTTTTCACCTAAAACTGAAAGTACTTGACACTTTTTATAAGATTTCAAGGCTAAAATAGCAGCACTAATTCTCTCATTGAGGATCAA